GCAAATCTTCAAAGTCAACTGAAAAGCTGTTGCTAAAAAGTCGTTGCTATGTTCTATGAAGATTTCACATAAGAAGCATTGATCGAATTTTCGTGAGAAAAATCATCCCGTAACCCATGTGTGTCATTTTTAACCTCATTAATACATAGAACAGGTAAAAAATGAATTTTGAGAAGAACGCAAAACGTGTGGACAGCAAGAGGACTCGAACCCTCGCCGACCATCTGCGAGTCCGAGACGCTAACCACTACACCACAAGACCACAATCTGGTCATTTGTGCGTTCTCTAAACATGCACACGCCAAAAACTTCAGAGGGCCATAACTTGCTTCACAATAACGCGTCGCAGCTAATGGGCGCACATTTGATACTAACCTCCCGAGCTCCGCGTCCTGGTATTATATACCACATATCAATCGGCCATTTCGATTCGGCGAACTTCCCTTGTTAGACCACTCGGTCAGAATGACATGGCATTTTTGTAAGTGCGGAAAACTTCGCCGTGCCGCTATGTCATTGCACATCAGCTGGTAAAATTCGCTGTCATCCGCAGGATTCGAACTTGCGCCCTCCGAAGAGGACTGCGACTTGAACGCAGCGACTTAGACCACTCGGCCAGAATGACATGGCATTTCTGTAATGTGCGGAAAACTTCGGCGTGCCGATATGTCATTGCACATTAGCTGGTAAAAGTCATTGTCATCCCCAGGATTCGAACCTGCGCCCTCCGAAGAGGACTGCGACCTGAATGCAGCACCTTAGACCACTCGGCCTGAATGACATGGCATTTCTGTAAGTGCGGAAAACTTCGGCGTGCCGATATGTCATTGCTCAGCTGGTAAAAGTCACTGTCATCCGCAGGATTCAAACCTGCGCCCTCCGAAGAGAACTGCGACCTGGGGAAAACAAACCCGCTAAAACAGAGATCCCGGTATGATTGAGCAAACTCACAAGGGAAGCGTGTTTAGTCAAAGTGGTCTTTCCAGATGAGACGCATACTGCTTTGAAGAGCATGCGGTGATTCCAAATCTGTCTTCCAAATCTGCCAAGCACCTCTGGACGCCATGTTATGGGCGTTTTTCAGGTCAAAAAATTGAACGCATTGGAACAAAATCGCGCATTGCTCATATGGTACAGTGCCAAGTATCAGAGTCATTTATGCAATGGACACATTTTCTCTAATATGCTGATGCTCAACACTGCTTTATCTGAGCGCTGGAAAGATCGTAACAATCGATTTTTCCTAAATTCTGCATGCATTCGTCCAAAAAAACGGTCATAACTCGACATCGGAGGCGCTTGGCAGATTTGGAATCACTGTGCAATACCCTTCAAAGCAGTATGTGTCTCATCTGAAAAGGCCACTTCGACTAGACACGCTTCCCCTATCAGTAGGAGGTTTATTCTAATAACATTATTTCTTGTCTTTGTGCTGTGCTGGAGGGCCTCATTGGTTTTCTCACTTATTTTTAGATATCGAAAAGTGCAAATCAATGTTTACTTGACGCATCTTGTATGCAGTCTGTGAATTTCAAGCAAATAGTTTATTTTGTGCATTCATTTTACACCGGGAGGCACTCAAAAACGGGCAAGCGTTTTGGTGTAGAATCAAATTCTGTTTTGTTTCAAATTCTTGCAGAATCCTAAATTCTTCTTTTATGTATCCACCATTACTTTTCATAATGAAGAAAATGTGAAAATTTGAGACTCTTTGACACTTTCCTCTCTTTTCATAATCTTTTCTAAGCCACCAAATAATTTATGGTCTTCATTTGTGAGCACTTAGTACGCAATCGCTTACCTATCCTCTTCATGACTTACACTTGATTTTCCATCATTTTTTTTATTCGGTGCCAAATCGTAGTAGGCTTACTGTGTTTCGCACCAAAATGCGTGATAATTCAGTCACTTACGGATCATCTGTACAATAATTGGAAGCAGGACTTCGTAATTGAGCACAATAACGGCTCAAATTCATGTAACTGTTGAGATGTTTCAAATAGAAATCTTTGTTCAAATGTACAACTAAAGTTTACAGAAACTTTGCTAAGCTAATCGGCTACAAAAACTTTTCATAGAATTAAGGTGAACACTAATTCTGGCTATCAAAGTGTAATTCAAATGAAGTGTATATTTATGGACAGGTAAATAATTAAATGCCCTCATATTGTTCATGAACAGCAGGAGTTGCCGCATTAACCTTTCACCCTCGTCGATAACAAATCTGAATTAGAGACAAAATAAGTTGTGAGAGAAAGTGAAGCAGCAAACTTGCTAAAAGGTCGAGGTAAGTACACGTCGACGAATACAACAAGTAATGGCGCAAAGTCACTGATCTTTGCAAAAGCATCAGCCTCATTAACTGGCAATGCAAATACATTCAGATGCCATAGGACGAAAATTTGTACGTAATTTGAATGAAATTTGCTAACTTCTCTGATCCTTAATCCAAATTTAGGAATTTGTTTCAAAGATTGAGGGGTTGCGCTCTTTTACAATGTTTCAGTTGCAAGTTTTCAAAGAAAAAGACTTGGAAGAACCAAACTTCCAAAACGGTACATCATACTCTGTGATTTTCAGTTTAGTGGTGATAATAAGTCTGCTAGTTAGCTTCAGAGAATTCGCAAAATTCTCTAACGTAGCATCCATTTATATATCCATGCGGCAGGCTTCAGCATCGCAAGGAAATGTAAAAACAGATTTTTGTGAAAAGATGCTATTTTACAGGAAATGTTCACTGCAATTCTTAGCAGGAACACAAAATCAGAATAACCTAGTGCTCGCAAGACCTAATAATTTTTTTAGTGTCAAACTGTTTTTTGAGAATAGAATGCGGTTAAAAAGAATATTTTCTGTAAACTAATAATTTTTAACCAATTCGGGATTTTACTAGGAATTGACCAACCTATTTACCCACTCACATTTCAGTTACAACTCTAAAAAAGGAGGAGTATCGCCAAAAAAACTAAGCGTTTAATAGAAACTCAAAATTACATCCGTTTTGGATCATATTTGAAATTATTTGATTTTCACGAAAAATTTGCTTCCGCGTTTTCTTGCATTTTTGAAACTGCCATAATGTAGTCACTGATCCCATGAAAAATTTTCAATATTTTTGGGGCTAGTCAGCGCACTCTAATATTTTACACAATCAAACTCAAAACCACGAACTTTGTGTCTCGTTTGATAAACTTGTTTCCCTAAATCTAGCCAACATGAGGTTGTAATTTGGCCATTATCGCGGAACACAGATCCTTTTATTTTAGCACAAAATTGTTAATTTATGATGGGAATTGAAAGGTCATTGATCTTATTCAAGTTATGCAACTTCGTTTCAACTCAATTCGTCATTCAATTTCAGAAAGCCTCAAGTGTCAGTTTTTCTTAAAAGCATTGGATCGGCAAATCCTTGACTTGAATTAAAGTTTTCTTACCTGGGGTAACGACGCGCTGATTTCGAAAATACACTTCGAGCACGAAAATGTCGAAAACCAGCATTTTCCAACTGTCCTTACTTTGAAGACGAATGGAACACTTCCGCCATAGTTAGAGAAGTGGAGTCTTTGCGGGACCCTCATATTTATAGTATTATTGCGGCATGCCGCCTCGAAGGTAAAAGAAACCGCAAGCTCGCCCGAGCGCGTGTAAGTGGGCTTTCGCGCACGGGTTTAGGGGCTGTCTCCTACGCAGGGGTAGCATGTAGTGCGCTCGAGCCTGCTCTGTTCTGATGTTTGGGACGCAAGCAATCTTCCATATCAAAATATCGAGATGTTGGGTTTTGCCGAGCCACTGCCTTTGAGAAGGGGTCTTTACAAAAACTATCTTTTTCTAGTCGTTATGCTTCATAGATGCAAAGATTTAGACTGGATTGATAATCTTGTTTAAGGTCGAATGCGAAGGTATTTTTTGATGTCTGGGTTGTCTCGGATCGAAGATGAAAGTTCTTGTACTTCCTCCATTATCTCAAACCATCCGTTCACTCCACCTGTGCTACTTGAGCGCAAATTTTTGTAGGAAGTTTTATTGAAGACAGTTTGATGTAGAAAATTAGTAAGTGGATTTTCCCCCATTGTACGTTATTTTGAGTAAGGCGATGTCGGAAAATAGAACATGTCAAAGGTCAATTAAAATCTTATTCTATCAAAATGGAAAGGAACAATAATTCATTGATGGCGCACGTATTCTGAATAAGTCACTAGTTCATCAGCTGCGAACGAGCTCGTTGTTGGAATATAGAAAACACCAAGTCTATTGAAGTGATGCATTCAGACACATGCAAAGATTGAGAACCGTTGAGCTTGTACAAAACAATGACATTGAAATAATTAGCGTAGCTACCCCACTTTTCATGACGTTTCACTTACACTTGCTAATTATCAAATAATTTATTATTTTCAAGATGTACTGCTAAAATCAAATAAGTCTATCTTCAACAACTTCGGCGCTATTAGAGTAAATCCCGGAACTTCTGCGTTGGAGCACATTACTTCTGCGAGGGCAAGGACAGTACGTAGCATCCTTTCCAGGGCGACCACGCTGCCCAGATGTTCCCGGTTTTCCGTCGTTACCTTTACCTCCGGGCAAGCCAGCCTGACCAGGCGGTCCTTGTAATCCTCGCTCTCCAGTCATTCCATCTTTACCCTTGATACCTGGCATCCCCATGTCTCCGCGCCTGCCAGGAGGTCCTGGCACTCCGGCAGCTCCAGCACCTTTTCTTCCGTCTTGACCTTTCGGACCTGGTGGACCATCCCTCCCAGGAGTACCATCATGCCCGCAATTACCAGGAGGACCTATGGGTCCAGGGTTCCCATCATTTCCCTTTTGTCCAGGAAGTCCTGGTCTTCCATCGGGACCGTGTGGACCTGGAGGACCATCTGGCCCACTTGGCCCTTGTGGTCCGGGCGGGCACTTGACGCAGTGAATCGGAGCAGGTGGGCACTGGATCGGAGCATATGTGGTTGTATCGTCTCTACCAGGAGGGCCTGGTGGACCAGGCGTTCCTAAACGGGTACATTTCTTTTTGCAATAAAGTAGGTTTGAAAAGATTTACCTGGCTGCCCGGGCGGCCCTGGTGGACCGGGAAGACCGGGAGGGCAAACAATGAGATCAGGTTCGCATTTACACCAAGGTGGTAAGCCTGCTTGCCTGCTTTGACGAAAAAACGAATTAAACGGATTTTTATGCGGATCGGATGAAGAAGAGACAATTAATCGCACATCCATCATTTCACTCCATGCCAAGTTCGTTTCTGTTCGAAATGCTGCGACTGCTTCGAGAACCTTAAAATTAATGCAAAGAAAAGTTTTATTTTCATTACTCCTTACCTGCCCATGCAGTTCGTTAATTTCGCTGTACAAAGAAGGTAAAACCGTAACACTAGCAATCACAGCCAACAAAGACCCTACTGATGTGACACCGACGATCTTCATTTCCAGAAGCATAGCCGAATGACTTGCGCAGTTAATGTTACTTTTATAGTTCTTCACTCTCAATTCCCCCTCAAACTTACATGAAGGCATTTTTGCTCCCATAAAAAAGAAAAAGTGATGAAAAAATATTTGACGTCTTGATTACTACAAGTTACTCAATCGAATCTACGCTAATGGGGATTGCTTGTGGAACCAACTTCATTTCCCAAACTACTTACTCACTGGATTTGCCCTTGATGCAGAAATGGAGTAAAACAACACTTGTACTTTACCGTCAAATAAACGTGCAAGCAACTGATGAACTTACTGCAAGCAAACATTACTTTAATGCGAAAGTACAAAAAAATTTTCTACTTCGAACATCATGTACGGATGGATCCCTGACCAATCATCTAGGGGAAAGTTAAGGTAGATTTCTTCCTCCTTAGGCTGAGATAATCAGAAAGCGACTTGCAAGAGCAAAGTACACTGATTACCCTTGCATTTGAAAAGGCTTACCAGTCTATAGAACATCGTTGTTTCTATATTCATAATAACTCGTTAGATCTTCTTTCATACTCGCTTTCCGCAGATAAGCCTTTTCTAATTTTCATGGCTTAACCCTTGCGGACCTGAGTTTTTGCGAGTGAGCCAAAAAGCCTCTCTATTTTTTACTCGTACCACATGAGTAACATTATAGTGGAGTTTGGATCTGCTTAACCTCATGAACTATTCTTTTTGACTTTTTGGTTTTTTTGGTTTTGCGCTTATTTTTAATTTTCAAGTTTTCCACAATACATGTAGATCCGCGAACAGTTAGCAAATACACTTGCACAACATTGTACTCAAACTTTCTGATAATACTACAAGTATGCTGAAGCCGACGCAAGTTATTGATTGGTTGCAATTCACTTGTATACAGAAATTTTTGTATTGCTGACAGGAAGACAAATGAACACGTCGTTTCAAGACTACGTTTGGAAGGCAAAGGCTATATGTAGCGAGCTGTAGCAGTGAGCTGTAAAAATATGTTTTTGCGCCAGTACAATAGGTCCCCTTAGTATTGCCCATGTTCGGCTATCCTTGAACCTTGGCATGGCTTGTTACTTGGTGGATGTGTGATTTGAGCGGTTGACCAAGATGGGTAACAGTTTATTATGGTGCAATCGCCTCTTTCCGGCGCTTTCGCTTTCATCAGAGCCTGGAAGTCGAAGTCATCAGAATCCATTCCCTCAGACGCCAACACGAGACTCAGATACTATTCGAAAAAAGTCAACGAAAACCTAATCAGAGTAACGGGAGCAGCACTAACCTTAGCCAGAAGCAAAACGGAAGTCGGAAGACCGCCGTATATGCAAGACTACAGGAGGGCGTGCAGGATCCTCCAAAGACCCGCCGCTTCTTCTCCAAGCGCGCCCTTGGAAGGCAATAATCCCTTCGCGCCTACTTCGCGCTTATGTCGCACTTGTCTGCGATACATTCCTGCGATAGTTAACCTAAAGACATGCATCTTGTCCGTTCTGGCATTAATCAGAAAAGGTCACTGATCAAACGAGGATTTTTCAATAATAACAAAGGATGTGAAGATGTGAAACTCTCAGTATTCAACAAACGGAGGTGAAACACTGGATCACCTTAGTTGAGGTAATTAGAGGGGTTGTTGTTTTCGTAGTCTGAAAGGTCACCGCATTAACGATTTGTCAGTAACAAACAAAAAAAGAAAATCAAGCTGACTGACAGACAAATATTCAGTTGGCACAAGTTTTGCGACTATATTCGTTATTTTTCTCTTGGCTGTGACGTAATCATCTTTGAATATAATGTAGATTAGGTAGTATAAAATGTGCTCAAAAAATTTGATTTTTGATAGCGAAACGGAGTAAATTTACGCATTTTCCAAAAGCTGATCAATTTCAAGGGTCGGAAATCCAAAAAAATTGTCCTAATGGGAACCGACACTTCGAATGGATATGTAATTCAGCATGACCAGAATCACAGCAAAAATTGTGGTGAAAATTCTTTTTATTTCATTTCTGTCTTAGATGCAATGTTTCTACGAAGCTTCCTTCTGGGAATATTTTGAGCTTTTCTTATTGCCAAATTGAATGCATCCTGAAAAGAAAATGAGCTGCAAAATAATTCCCACCAAAACGATGCAGACTCATTTGAAATACCTGTTAAGTATCGTCCATACTCTCATTCGTATCTTTTCGAGTGTTTTCTGGCCATGCTACTGTCCACACGCATTTTCTTTCTCGGCTACACTCTCATTAATGAATACGAAAAAGCTCATAACTTCTTTTGGGAAAACGCTTCGCAGATATAAAATTCAGCATTTCGAACTCTGTATATTGGTATGCATCAACTTCCAACCCACTTCAACCAAATGACTCCTGACAAGAGGCACTTTCATTGTCAGTCTACTTTTATTATTTAACTAGTGAAACAGTAATTGAAGGTGCTAGCAGCATGCGCGCGCTTCGGGACCGCCGCGCGGTTTCCCGCTATTTGCACATTTTTGAATTGCGCTTACAATTCTTTATATATTAAATTAGTTCCCACAGCTTTTTTCCTTTTCTTGTTATCATTAAAGAATCAATGTTTACGAGGTGAACCTTCTAATTAATGCTAGGAGAAACAAATTGATTGTCCGGAAAATTATTGCAAAAATGCGCGAGACAAGTGCAAAGTAAGCGCTAGGTAAGCGCGAAGAGATTATCGCCTTCCAAGGGCGCGCCTGGAGAGGAAGCGGGAGCCCTTTGGAGGATCCTGATACACCTCCAAGATTACAGGGTGGTCCACATGAGGTGTGACGGCCTGCGAAGATGGGTGTATGCCAAGATGAACGATAGCTGGCAATAAGCATACTGTACTCCTGCGGTTGTCAATATGTCGCACATAAAGTCTTGTTTTTTGAAGCTGTATGTTCCAAATATGTTCCAAACTAGATTGATAATGGTGTCGAACAGTGAAAATCAGGGCATAAACAGCTTCCAACGTTTCTTTTAAGCTTCGAGATATCATCATAGCGTAAACATGGAATTTGAAAAAAATTTGAAGTCTTATTTTTTGAAGCTGTATGTTCCAAACTAGATTGAAAATAGAGTCGAACAGTGAGAATCAGGGCATAAACAGCTTCCAACGTTTCTTTTAAGCTTCGAGATATCATCATAGCGTAAACAAAAAACGGAATAAACGTAAACATAAAACAAACATGGAATTTGAAAAAGATTTGACCTACGCAGCGCATATGGCTGGCACAACCTATCTTTCATGTTGGCTGCCCCCCGCAAAGATCCGTTCTCGGTCAGTTTTTTCGCTTATTTTTCGCAATGTTTTTGTGCTATTTGTTTCCCCAAAGTCCTGTAATCCTAAAGCAATCAGTCCTAGGGCCGCATGCACTAACATGGCCGCGGGGAGGGGATCGCAGCTTAAAAGAAAGCTTCATATTTCGAAACTCCAGATATCTGGATTTCACGTCGATTCGTTGACTGTGCGGACTGGACATAACCGCGGAGCACGCGCCGCGAGGTAAAACGCTTGCTCCAATACAAACTCGCCATTGTTAAAATCGTGCTCTCGCAACATTTTAACCGCGCCGCGCGTGGTCCGCAGCGGTTGAACAGTCCGTACGGCCGACGAATCGACGATACCTATCCGTAAGTATTCTTACTGTCCTTCACTATGAACATGTTGAACAGGAGCGAGAAGCTGTACAAACCGCATTTTCCAGCTTTTGTATGACCCCTGATGATCCCCGGCGCTTTTCTTTGAAGTCATTTTTCTTCCTCCAAAGTTGACGAACAACTTCCAAAGTTGTGCAGATTATCTAAAGCAACAGTGCTAAGCATGTGCTGATGACAACAAATGATGTTTTGAATTCATGAAATTTTCGATGATGCACAGGTCGAAATTTGGGGTTTACCAAAAAATTCGATTTTTCAAAAATTCATTTGTTTTCATCAGCAACATGCTTAGCACTGTTGTATTAGATGTTCAGTACAACTTTGGAAGGTTTTCGTTGACTTCGGAGAAAGAAAAATGACTTTAAAGAAAAACGCCGGGGATCATCAGGGATTATGCAAAAGCTGGAAAATGCGGTTCGTGCAGCTTCTCGCTTCTGTTCAACATGTTCATAGTGAAGGATAGTAGGAGCACTTACGGACAGGTAGACAGCGTGAAATCCAGATATCTGGAGCTTCAGAATATGAAGCTTTCTTTTGAGCTGCGATCCCCTCGCCGCGGCCATGTTAGTGCATGCGGCCCTTAGTCTCAACTTGTGTCGTGAAACACGACTACAAATCCAAGGATTTATCAAGTATGTATTGATCCAACATTCATTATTATTTTCGCCAAGTCTTTCTTACAGGAATGCTTTATTTACTTGCAAGCGCGGAGTTGACTCCAGATGGTGCGAACGATAAGGGGACGATCGTCGTCTATGCAGCTCTTCGGCTGCTAAAGCAAGTATCATTTTCACATAATTTGCATATTTTCTTTATCTTCATATATCATCTAGGTTCACACTATATAAGCTTGTCCGACTGTAGGCTCATATTTTTCCGACTTGAAGTTTTACCACTTTTGTATTATTTTCTTGCACCTTTTTGAGCAATTAGATCCAAAACAGCATAATAATCAAGTATTGAGTAGGATAAGCATAATTAAGTATCATAGCAGTGAGAACTACCATTAGCAGCCTACTCTCAATGATTTTTGTCAGTAGTATTTGAGATCATCATTCATTTGTATCTGTTATCTAGTTTAGTTCATTTATTTGTTTGTTCTATGGTATTTTGTCGAATTTTGCGTATAATAGTCAAAGTAAAAGGTTTAATTACCCAAGTTTCAATTGAGGTACACGTCGACAATAATACGCCCGCGTGGCAAATCAAGTTCAAGTGTCTCTTGGTATTAGACGATTATTGTTCTAAATATCTTGCGTATCCTCAACAACTTGTTTTTTTAGTAAAGATGGTCTCGCCTGAGGATCGCACCGTTGTAGTCGCTTCCTACAATTGCGGGTTTTCGAT